ATACTGCATATACAATGTGATGTGTCTATTTTTTTAAAATCATAAATGACAGTAATTTAATGATGCTTTAAAACAGCAAGTGTGTGTAAAAGTGATGAAATAATCTTTATTTTAAAAGTCTTAAGCCCTCCTGAAAATGAACATCATAGTTGTTTGATGCTGTAGCGCACGTATTGTTTACTTTCTGACCGGTCTAACTAGGGAGTACCAATATGGCGGCTGGTGACTTCACTCCGCCCTGTATTACCAATGGCCTATCAGCAATCATCTGAATAAATAGAGATCAGTGGATCCAACCTCTAGGAGATCTAAGTATGTCTGGTTGGCAAAGAGGTTTAACAAAGTAAAAGTTGTACCATTAATTTACTTCAATCTGATTATTTCATGATTCTATTTATTGAACTCATTAAAATTTTAGATTAATCTCAAAGCTTCAGTGCGGTTTTATCTTGCTGCAATAAAAATATTCATCCGTTTTAAGGCTTTTAATTTCTCCAAATGAAATTCCTGGTGATGATGGGTCTTTATTGTTCCACAGAGAAGTGAAATTAAGCCATTTTTTTTTAAATGCTGAAGGTGTGCGGATCCATCTGGAACAGGAAGTCAAAACCAAATCAATCAAAGAAAAGCTAGATTGAGATGAAAAACAAAACAGCTAAATCAATTTTAGGATCATTTTATTTTATTAGAGGAATAAAAATAGCTTAACAACTAAAACAGTTTTACAAATTTGGTCTTCTTCCATAGAGGATAACAGTACTAAACTTTACTCTTTTTCCACAGAAGTTCGACATGATGTCTGCTACATCCTTTTTAGTCGGTTTATTAATGTGCTATCCTTGGATCATTTCAAATGATGGCGTCTGTTGTGTTTTTACAGCAAATGGAGCCGAAGCCAGCCTCTAGTGAGAATAGGGGTAATTAGTCTGGAGCCTCATCTGTTATAGTCTTTGTGGGATAACACAATTAAGACTAAGGAAAAAAACCTAAAATTAATCAAAAGTCTGCATTTAATTTATGATCTTGGCTTTCCTTGCTATGTTTTCCTTCCTTTCCTCGTTTCCCTGATTTTGTTGTTTTAAGAGATGCACCAATCAGGAGGTCAAAGATGTGAGTCGGCTAATTTTCAGTTGATCGGCTCCAATCTGAGATCAGCTGCTAAGATCATGAAAACAGCATTCCTTCAGTCCATAAATCAACAAACATGGTTCGTTATTAGGTTTTATGTGGGAGAGAAAGGAGCAGCCCCAAAGAAAATCACAATTCAGTGGGGAAAGGCGAATTTTACAAATCTCTTGTTGCTGAATCACTGATACCGCCATCTATAGGTGCAGAAGAATCAGTCTGAGTGTTTGATTGTAAAGTTTATTTCAGTAGTCCTTCATGGCAGTAAAAGACAACACTTAGTAGGTTTGCAGTCCCAACATGCAGAACAATCAATGAACAAAAGAATCAGACATTTAAAACAAAGAAAAAAGTTAAAGGTGCAGTTTTTCCATCTTTTGCAAAGTGATCAACACTCAAGGTTGGATTCAGCAGTAGTACAGTTAACGCTGGGAGAACAGTGCGCGTCTTCCACTCATGCAGCCCACGACTTCCACAGACAGCTTTATGTTCTTTGCCTTAAAAAAAAAAAAAAAAGAAGAAGAAAAAGCGACAATCTAAGCCTCCCCGCGAAAAGACGGCGACAACGAAGACGACAGCCACATTCAGCTGCTTGGAAAATTCCCCAACAACCAATTCATTTTACGCTATTAAGGAAAACAAGTAAAGTATCTGAAACCTAAAACACAAAAGAGCATTCCTGTAGAGCAGAGGTACGTCGCATGAAGTAAAACAAACACACACACTTTAGAAATGACAACCTAGATCATACCAGATACTAACACCTGCAAAGGTACATAGAGTGCATTGTGTAACACTTTGTGTTAAAGCGAGCTGAACACACACACAGACACACTGTCATCCTGCACACAGACACACCCACTTCCCTGTAGGGGCCATGCAGCAGCACACAGATTAATCAGAACTATACCTGACGTCGTGCAGACGGACAACTGGAGCGAGCATCAACACACACACACCCACAGATAATAAAAGAAACACACCAGTACTCCCAGTCTCATAGAAGACAAACACATGCACACACACACACACGTACAGCACATGCACAGGCGGGCTATGAAGTGACACACGCACACAGTGGGAAATCTGATCTCCCATAGGGAGAAGAAACCAATCACACAGACACGGGTCAGTCAGTTATAAATAAAACAAGCCAGAATAATAACATCCATATTAATAATAATAACGAGACATTTCAGAAAGCGAGTTTCCACGACGGATCGAGTTTATCCTGCCAAAAATCAAAAGTTTACAGACGATTCATTACAAAGCCAATCAATGCAAAAGTCATAGATCTCCAATATAAAAATACAAATTCACAAAAGAACCATAGAGACAAAGTAGTTTTGATACCGCTGTGGATTTTCCTGGTCAATATTTCTCTCCCTTAAGCTAATGGCACTTATGTTAAAAGGGATAAAATCTCCATTTTTAGGGGAAACACTACCGCTACTGTGAGCTTGCCTTTAGGTCAACTCTGCAGGAGCAGATCTGTGGTTTAAAACACTGCAGAAGTGCAATACTGTGGAGTTCAGACAGTGGTTTTGTCTTTAGGAGTGTGTGAGACAGAAGGAGAGTTTGAAAGTAGCACTAAATTATTCTTGGCAATACTTTTTTTCTTCTAGGAGGGAAGGTTTCAGGTAGGCACCGCTGTGATTGTTGAGACAGGAGTGATGTGTGGAATGCCATTCTAGATCGAGAGCCGAGCTCTGGCTGTTCAAAGATGAGGAAACAGGAATACTGTCTGCTTCACAGTAAAAATCTAAAATCATTAAAAACCAGGCACGGCATCTACATGTTTAAAAGCTGGAACTTAAAAACCTAAATAAAAACAACAAACCAGGACGAAGGCATGAGAAGATGTAAGGCGTCACGAGAGATGCTCACCAAGTGCATAAAACGAACAAAAGCATTACAAACATTTGCTCTGAATCTGGAGAAAATTCACCTGCATTTAGATAAAAGGAAAACAAAAAACTGTTCGAATTCACTAGTACCTGGACGATTGTTTACACGACTGCTCTTTGGCAATCTTTCACAAGCTGGATTCCTCTGACCTGCCCGCCGTCCTGCGCTCTCACCTCTGCTGACAGTGTTTAGGAGTGGTGGAATACAATGACGTCAGGCGTAGTGGCTCAGTGCTGGAAAAGGAGAGCTTGGCTCTGTCTAAACGCAGCGAGAACAGTGAAGAACTTTGGACCACAGAATGCCTAAAAATGCACAGTGCTCATCAATTCTGCTGGACACACAAACACAGCTGATAGTGAACACGGTTTGTTTCCTTCCTCGCCTTTTTCTTTTTTGTTTGTTTGTTTTTTCTATCTTCACGATCCTCCTCAGTTCATCTTTTTTGTCCGTAGTTTCCCTTCAGTGCTTGAACACCTCTTTCTGTTAAATATCTGCTGTGGAGACAGCAGCTGTGGCTCCAGAGGGTCTGACTGGGTCCAGGAGGGGCGATGGATCACCACTCGGCCCTCTGCTTGGTGGTGTCGTATGCTCTGATCACTTCAGACTGGGACACCACTCCGTTCTCATCTTGAGAAAAGGCATATCCATCTGAAAACAAAGCAACACAATAATTATTATTTAAAAAATGGGATGTTCCCTCCACTCTGTGTTACACTTCTTCCACTTTCTAAAATTTATTTGCAACTAAATCTCCCTGTTTTGGTCATTATTACCAAAGTTATTCCTATTTACTTAATTCTGATTGCTTTCTACGGTATCTACCTGAAATAATCCCCAAGCTTCTTACAATATTTGGCTGTAAATGGGATAGATCTCTCTTGAAGGAACACATTTTTAAAAGACTAAACCTAAAATATCTTTGCTATCATTGGTTCAGCTGGGTGTGCCTCGTCTGTATCCAGTTTCAGGCTCCTGGTCTGAGTCTTAAGATTCTGCTTTAATATTTCCACGCGTTCTGTCCTCAGGATAGCATCTCTTTTGTTTAAAGCACCTTGATCTCTTAATATATATATATATACATATATATATATATATTTTTTTTTTTTTATCACTTAATATATATATATGTATTTTTTTTTTATCTTGGAGGGTGTACAAAGAGCTGAGCTTGAACCGTGGAGGTCCATAATCCTCTTCCTAATATCTTGGCTGATTTCATGCGTTGCATTAAATACACCGCAGCTCATCCTCCAATTATCTGAAATATTATTAGAAGGCTTCAAGTCTTTTAATACATACTTAAAACATTAAAAGCTTCCAGCAGACCTTCTGTTGGGCTCCATGCGACAGTGATAATTACAAACCGACATGTTAAGACATTAGACTTATTGCTGTTTTCTCAAAGAATACAACAGGTTCTTAAGAATTGATCTATTAAATCATATATTATGAAAAAGGAAATCTTTTCACTGATTTTCTAGTTTACTGAGCTGCTGTGTTTTTAATTGTGGAGTTCAACTTGTTCAAATGTTTAGTTATATTATCCATCTTTAATGCTGGCATCATTTTAGAGACACAAGGAAACTTTGAATGAGACAAATACAAAAAGGTTTTTTGTTTTTGGTACAAGGAACATTTTTCAGAGAATATCTTACTATCATGATAAGCAACAGCAAAGCTAGATAGGAGTAGCTCCAGTTTTCTTATTCGATTTAAGAAATAAAAGAATAAATAAAATTCTTTATAAGAAATATAACACTGAATGTGATAAATATATTAAAACATTTGTTTAATTTCCTCTTTACTGTAAAGCTGCACTCTCATCTACACCTTCACTCTCCTACAGGGTCTCATGTGACTTTTAGCCCCTGACTCACCTTCAGGTGTCAAATGACTCGCTCAGTGCCTGGCGGCCAGCGGGCCAGTTCAAAGGACCCCGCTGAAACGAGTGCAGTGTGAGGGAATAACATTTTATCGTTATCTGGCTCTACTGAGCTCGACTCGGGAAACACGGAGGCACACGGCAGGGAGAGGGCGAGAAATAAAGCTACGAGGAGGAGAGATAGAGGCGTCTATGGAGGAGCTACGAAGGGGGTGGAGACTTAAATAGGGATAATTTATGAAGTCAAGAAGGTATTACAACACAATGATTTCGTCTCCACCTATAGGACAAACAAAACAAAAAACAAGCTGATCAGACAAGAAACACAAAAAAACAGAAAAGCACACAAAACAGCAAAAATAAAACCCATGCTGAAGATGAAACAGACTGGATTGGTTTCAGGCTCCAATGGAAGGAATCGTCCCAAAAACAGCAACTGATCTGAGTTTATTATTACCAGAACTGGAGTAAACAATAAGCTTTTAGGTCAATTTGTTAAGCCAAATCCAGCCCTGAGAGAAATGGGTTATTTGCTGAGATTGATCTCTAAATCAGCAGAGCTTTGAGAAATCAGATGGAGACCTATAAATACTTAAAGGTATAGAGGATGATCTTTTATATCTGGGTGGATCATCTAAATAAGTGGTCCTCCTAATTATAAATCATTCCGGTGATAAGTTTACATAAGGCCGTCCTACGTGCTTGTCCCGCTAGCTTATCTTTTTCTGTGCATAGGCACTTTCGGGCGTATATCTGTGGTGAGCTACGGTTTCAGTCATTGAAGCTCATCTTTCTCACCGCGGTTCTTTGAAAATGGCCAAGGGTAGAGAGAAAAAGTTTCTATGAATTGTACGTGAAGAAAAGCCTCAGAAGAGGCAGATATATCCCAGAATGCTTTTGCGCAGAAATCTCTCCTTGCAAAGCATTATGGGATTTGCTGTCACAGCAGCCTGCTGTCGCCATAGGCTGCTGCTACCCAACAGCGGCGACTGATAACAAAGATGGCGCAGCCACCTCGCAATGGAGGAGGAGGAGTCAAGGGATCAACACGGAGCAAAAAGCAGTGATTATCTTTCGGTAAAGTCCACTATTTATAGTAATTGAGGGACTCAGGGGTTAGGGCGGACGTTAGGGCGGACGTTCTGCATGGTCTCGCACGCGTTTAATAGGCGTTTCATCTCGGGAGTGGTTCAGAAACATTTGCCCTATTTTCTGAGTATGAGACACTATCTGTGTCATCTTTGCTCAGTAACAAACCTCCACACTAAAGTTAGCAACCAGTTAGGATTAACAAAAGGTTTTAATTTCCCAATAAACACATCAATGTTGCTCAGTTTTATCTCGCAGGAGAGTCTAATTTATATGAACCACAGATCAAGTAGAAAATGGTTGCTGACCTATATTCTCTATAAAGACTAATGTTGAAGGTTAGATAAGCTAATTATTAAAGTTTGATAAGGCAAACATCCACATTATGATGTGTGTACGAAACAAGATGATGAGCTTTCATTTCTAGTAAAGGAGACATAATTTATTTCAGTGTTTGGGTTTAAGCTTTGGTCAGTGTATCGCTACATATTAAAGCTAATTCAAGAACATAGCAGCACCTGAGAAATGAAATAAAAGACAAACAAAAACATGTAAATGAGGGGACATACTGTGATCCAGAGGCTAATAGCAGTGTAGCTGTCCGTGTAACTACGGACTTGTTCTCGTCAAGTGCGTTCTTGAGAAGAACACAGGAAAATATGGACTCCGGGAGAACAGAGGCACGCAGAATAAATCTGGGTCAATAGGAACAGATGCGTTGTCCTGACATCACCACATTTAAAGCTCGTCTGGAGCTGCATTCACCACCTGTTATTAATAGTCTCTAGATTATCATAAATTATGACTTTTTTTTATTTAGTTTGGGAATAATAATTAAAACAGTCAGATAAACACAAATCAAATGAACGCTTTGCCAAAAAAAAAAAAAAAAAAAAAAAAATCGCCATCAGAGCCAGTGGCACTTCACACATGGCTATGTAGAAAGAGGGCTAATGCAGACGGGCTAACATTAGCCCTGGCTGCAGTTAGCCTCGGAGGTCCACTGGTTGCCACGGTCCTCTCAACATTGGAACTTTTTATAAATTGCGCACTAAATCAGTAAATGGGCTTTTATAGAACAACGACAACATAAAAGAGAACTTTTAACTTAATACTCTGATTTCTGTGAGGGCTCCACAGGAACCTGCTGCTACCACGGTGCATGCTGGGACAGCTGTCGAGCTTGAGAACGGACAAGTCTGCTCTGATGCATACTCGGTAAAGAGGGAGGGGCGAGAAAAACAACCGGGGACTTTGTCCATTCTCGGTCTTGTGTTCTTGTGAAATGGAACAGTGCTGGGGCTGATGACCTTTCACGAGCACACGAGAACGCACAAGTACACATATTGAGAAACGGCCGATGTTTTCCTCCATGTTTCTCATTGGTTTTGATTTTTTATTCCCTCTAAATGCACTAAGCTGACGTTGATTATTGCTAAATAATAACTAAAACTGCATGAACTGAAATAAAAAGAAAGCAAAGAGAAGAGACAAATGTGTGAGTAACTTACGGAGCAGGTTCTGCTGCATGGAATCGGAGCGGTACAGACTGACCGTGCTCTTCTTGAAGACGTTCTTCAGGAGCTGGGCCCGCTCCGTCAAACTGCTCACACAGAAACATGGAGAGTATTAGCTGCCTGCAGAGCACAACACCTAGACTAAATGACCCACATCAAGGCTGTTCAAGCAGCTCCAGGATGCTTAGATCTACAAACTGCTCTACCTGCTGCTTAAAACATCTTACAGGGACACTACTGTGAAATAGAGGGACGGCTAAAAGGAATTCATGAACACATGTGGCACAAGGCATCTGTGTGTGTGAATGTATGTGCATCGGAAGAAAACCATCCATGTGTTTGTGTGTGTGAGTGCTCCAGCAGCCTGCTGGCTCTTGGACAGCTGCCAGTCAGGGGGATCGCTTTCCGCCTGCAGGAGATCTCACACTGATATGCTCAGTGTTGATGCGTGCAGCAGAACCAAAGCTCCAGAGAGCAGAGGAGACCTGGCTCGGCTAATGCGCTATAAAACTGTATGGCTTTCATTAGGCGGGGGGCTTTTGCTCTGAAATCCAGCGTTATGTATTTTAAAGACGAAAAAACAAGAAGGGAAAAACCACCATTATGACAGGATTACTGATACTGCAGTCAGACTCCTGCAATTTAGCAGCAATTTAGAGATTTTTCTTCTCCAACAGGACGGCTGTTGGCAGGGCGGCCCTGTATGTTCGTGGCATATTCGTGACAAAAAGATGATTCCTCCTCCTAAATGAAGTTGGAAAAAGTGATTCATATTTTGTCAGAAAAGGCAAGAACAACAGCTAACCCCTCCATTATGTGGTTGTGATAAGGTCAGGAGAGAAATCCCAGCATTAGATGACACTAATCTATCATTTGATTAAGCCAGTTAAAAAAGATGTGTAGGAAATTTAACAGAGGAGAAAAATGACTTCATACAACAATCAGTTCTATCTCTGTGCATATTTAGGTAGAGAAAAATGATTTGTGTCCTGTTTTGCAAAAAGCTGAAGGTCAAAGAGGAGAAAAAGGCAATTTAAGATGAGGATTCTTGTGGCATGGCTCAAATCATTTCAAAAACGTTCTGCTCTAATAAAAGCAAACGTAGAAAATTGATCAACAGTTGGCGTGTAGAGGTCATAGTATTCGTAGTGGTGATCTCCAACTCTTCTTGAGGGCAAATGTCCTGCAACCTTTGGCTGCATCTCAGCTTCAACAGGTTTAAAGTACTAGACAGTTTAGCTATTTGCCTTAGAGCAAGGAATACATTGAAAAGTAGCAGGACACACTTTAGCAGGACGCACTTAGGTCCAACACTATGGGGAATCTTCAGGGCAACATTGTGATGAAAAGGCACACAAAATAAGAGGTCCAGCAGTTCTATAGAAGAGCCACATCACTGGTATTGCTCTTTGGTATGGTGCCATGACAAAAGATGGAAAGTGAGGCCAAGATCTAAAGTACTCCACGCCAAAAAATATTTAATTTTACTTTACTTTAAAAAGTGTAAGGCCAAAAACGAACTAAAACGTTCATGTCTCATCATCCTAAACAACTGTTTATGCACAGATAGAGCTTGAGTAAACAGGTGTAGAAAAGTTTTTTGCCTTTTTTTTAAATGGATGCAACTACAGGATAGATTGAGGGAATAAGTAACTTGTTGTAAATTAAAGCCAAGGGCAAGCAGGCTCTATAACATATGTGAAGTTTAGTCATCCATGCATTTGCATCATTAAGGCACTGTGCAGATCTAAACCAAAGAGTGAACACAGGAGTAGAGAGGAGGAACTGTACCTCTTCCCATGCACTACTGCTCCAGGGTCCTTAGATAAAGCCTCCAGCTCCTGCACCTCATCCACCAGGGTCTTGAAGAACACTTTCTTCACACTGTAAATCAAACATGCAGTAGATGATGTTTTGATCATACTTTACCATGATGAGCTATTTGGAGTATGGTGATATATATAGAGTGAAGGAATGTAGCTTCTAGTTAAACTGCTCTTGAAACTCTGAAGCTGCTGATGGATGATGCCGACCTGACATCTCCCGCTGAGCATTCACAGAATGGAAAGTTCCTTGGAAGTTTGTTCAAAAAGAAACAGGAATTTCTTCTGGCGATAGGAGAGATACTGAAGGAATTTCCTGTATTGCATGCATGTGTGAGAGAGATTGGGGAGCGAGTGAAGCGGAGAGAAAACTCACACTTTGTAAGCCACGTCAAAGATCAGCGAAGTGACCGGGATGAAAAACAGGCCCATCCAGAAGACTCCCGAGCTGAACATCATTTTTGCCTGCAGGAAACACACACAACAATTAAATCTAAGGTCACTGTGGACAATAAAGTTCAACAGAAACACCTGATAAACCTGAGCAACAATCCCTTTCCTCTGGAGCCCCAAACAAACACGGAAATGGAAAGCATAGGTTGGGATAATGTACTCAAGGTGGGTTAATAAGCCATAACTAAAGGACATCATTGTTTCATTTTGTTTAGATCCCCTGTACCCCTCTGACCCTATTGGATGAGGAAGTACCTGCAGTGCATTAAGATAGTTGAAGCTTTTTCAAATTCCTGTTTGGAGATTTTCTGTCAATGCAACAGAAATGAGACAAGAAAGTTCTCTATCCAGTCATCTTGAAATTGTTTATCTTCTACAAATAGGTGAAACTGGCATTTTTAGTAGTTATTCTAGAACTTATTTCTTTAATATTTACAGGCATACAATCTTAAACCAAAGATATTTCTTCCATTTGTTTCTTTTTGTTGTTTTGTACAGGTAAAATCTGGACAAAATTATTTTTATTTGGCAAACCTTTTGTCCCAGACCAAAAAAAAAGCTTAATTATGAAGGTTTTTGTGTTCAAAATATTTTACAAATAAAAACCCAGCTGTACTGTATTTTGAATGTGTCACAGGCCCATAAGACCCCTAAAGGACAATCCGGTTGATATGTAAGTCATGTGGACTCTGGGCTTCATGGAAGAGTAGCAGGAAGAACACTACTGGTGAAAGGAGATGTTTTCCACAATCCAAGCAGGAAACGGCCATGCATGCACTTTTGTAAGATCAAGGCATGGCTGCTGAATACACTAATGAATAAGAGAGTGTATGCCATTATCACAGTATCTACATGTAGAGAATCCCAGCTGATTGTGTCGAGTTATCGACTTTAGGATTGCCAAAGTTTCCAGGAGATGGTTTGATTAAGACAAGTAAGACAACAACCCTAAGCTACTGAGCTTCAACTTTACATCGAAGTACATTAAAAGAGCTAAAGTGACTTACTCAAAGTAAAGACAGTAATTCAAGAATGGATGTTTAAAAGATTTCCGTCCAGTCTGACTGAACCGCTGTAAGGGTATTTTTCTTAATCTAAAGGGAAAAGCTAATGGGATGTTTAGACCTGGTTAGAACTGCTGTTAGAACCAGGTTCTACCAACTGCAGGTGCTGAAGTTTAACATTGTATTTGTAAATAAACAAAACAAAAATGCAATTTTCTCACAGCTTCAATACTTTGTGTTGGTCTTAATACAATAAAATGTTGGCACTTATGGCTGTAAATATCCAAAACTTCAACAAGAAAAACATTATTATTAATTATCCCGCCACGGTTTAAAAAGGCTAAATCCAACTTAAAAATCTTTCTTGGGTCAATTTAGTCTTCAATAATAAAGTACTTTATCTTTTAAAAACTCTAAGTAACACATTTACTTGATGAGTTTTTGCTTCAGTGTAATTCAGAGACTGTGGAACGCCATGATGGTGGTAAAATACTTTAAAAACTCTCCTGTTTTCTTTGGGGCACCATCCTAAAACTATCTGTCATTACATGTCCGACTTACAACTTATGTTCCTTGCATTGTAATGTGCCATTTATTTAGACTGCCGTGGCCCATTGACAGTACCTTTCCTGCAGTGTGACAGCGCGACATGACGCACACACGGATCAGTGCCAAAACCATCAAAGCTCTCAGGTTAGCCTAAATTAGCTAATCTGTTTGGCATTGCCTGTAAAGTGACTTTGATGTCTGACATAGGACCGAGGAGAGGAAGCTCTCCTAAAGGGCAGGAAATAAAAAATGGCTTTTCTATGACATTCAGCGGCTAAACATATGAGGGGAAAATTATGATTAGACTTATGCTATTTTCAAATCAGTCTTGAAATTGTGCAGCCCCCATTTAGCAATGTTTCTTTATATATAATTTTATGGGGTTTAAGCGAATTTAATTGTTTTCATTTTCATAAAGCTTATTAAACATTTTAAAGGCGGTGTTTAAACTGTCTACAGAGCCTTTTCAAAACATCCCCGAGTGTATACTTGGCAAATCATAGCCAAGCAGAATGAAAAATAAATAATGTCGTCCACTGGTTCAGATTTTGACCCATATTTATTTATACAACTGTATGACTGAACTTCAAATTATGTAAACATTAGCCTGATACAGACATGAAGTCAATTAGGAAACACAATCCAATTCAAGAACTTAAATGTGAGGTGCAACTGAGGAAAAGTACATCTGTGGAAACTTAGAGTAACAAAGTCAAACTAATGGAGAGTTTTTTTTATTATTTTATTTTGATGTGAGTTTCAAAATCCAAACAAATCGGAGGAGCTACAAACAACAAATGTTTGTCTGCAGGCATCTGGAAAAGCTCCATAACTGTGAGCGGGTCCAGCAGTGTTGGTGGATGTCTCATACCAGGGGGCCCCTGGGAGATGGAGGGGTGATAGAGGTCCAGGGAGCAGGACTGTATTTTTAGGACAAACTAATAAACTTGTCTGGCTGGACAGACAGTAGTGTCCCCTCGCATAGAGGAGGTGGGGGGTGGTGGTGTTTTGACAGGCCATGGATCCCCACCCCTCCTCTCTTTGGTCATAGAAAGCCACAGACACACAGAGCTTGAATCAAGCCCTCCCTCCCTGACCACATGTGAACCTTCGGCCAAAATAACTGAACCTCAAAGTTGTAGTAGTGGTGTGGAGGTGCATGTCTGAGTGTGAGAGTCTGTGAATGCCTCTAAAGGTGTTTTATTGGTTGGTGAGAGCAGAAAAAATACATCTCAGTCTTATGTGGTCATGGAGTCACAAATATATAATAAATTAATTAAAGGTATGCAAATAAAAAAAAAAGATCATATTTACTTTAGAAAAACCTAAATCAATCAACCAGAGATCAAAATATTATGCGTATTCTCCATTACGCCAGGCTCACACTAAAAACAGTGCAGCTCCAGTTTGGACACAGAAAGGAACCCTGATGATTAAAATTAATGTGAACACTCATCAGTCACAGGCCAGTCGTGGTTAGCAAAACTGACGGAATGATTCCGCAAGCAGGAAGTTTGGCCGGATGCGGCAGCGGTCCCTCGTTGAGCCCCGGGGAATACCAGCCGGAAAGAGTTTTGGTACATTTCAGAATAAGACAACTCACCAACTTACAATAACTTGGCTAGCGTAAAAAAAAAACTAATGAAAAGAAACAAAAAAAAACCGAAAAAAAAAACCCAACACTGCTAGAGGAAAAAAAGGGATATCTATGAAAATTAGTTTTGCCCACGAGAACTTCTTCTCATGTTAGCATCCTTTCTTGCCCTCTGTGAGTGACTGTAACACGCAGTCAAACCTGATTCCATGTGATCCATTATTGCAACATCTGTACTTGTATTAAAACTAAGGGGTTACTCTATTTATGTTTGATACCATCAACCAAGTTCCATGCACTGTGTAAGAGTAAACTAAAAAAAAAAAAAAAATCTAATCAAAGTTTGGAACACAAACTCTGATGCCCATACAGGGGGAGGCAGTTAAAGTACATTTTCTCTTTTATTTTGTAGAGGCAATAAAAACTTGAATCTTTGGCTAGAAAAGAAAATCCTCAATTTACAACATGTAATATTCATTTTTAAAGCAGTCAATAGGAACCACCAAGAAACACAGCTATATATTTCCTATCTTGCTAAACTAAATGGGTGTTATACAAACTAATAATCTTTTTTTTATTTTGGCACAGATGGCCTTTGTTTTGAAAGTGATCTAACAGGAAATGTATTGACGAGGGAGGGGGATGAACATGAAGCAAAGGTCCACGGTATATGTTAAAGGGGTCATAGAATGATTCTATAGGGTATTTGGTGTTGGTCCTTAAGGTCTTTGAATAGGTTGTGTAACATTGGTTGGGCTGAAAATGGCATATTTGCTGTTCTATGCGCCCTAATGCAAGCCTGGTTAAGGGCCCCAGAATGAAACGACAGGTTTTCTTCCTTTTATGGTGTGCTCATGAATATTTAGATGAGCTGTGTGCTGATTGGTTGGTTTATAACGAGGGAAGCTGCTGAGCAAAGACTGATCATAGCAAAAAGCACTCACTCACTAAAAATATCAAATTGTTGATATGGTAAGGTGACCAGACATCATCTTTTTCCCGGACATGTCCTACTTCTCATACCTAAACAAAATGTCTGGGGGGAATTTCAAAATTGTCCGGGATTTTGGTCAAATACAGTGCAGCAGAATCTAGCCGTCAACTCCGGCTAATGGGGGGGGAGAGCCAGCAGGGGACGGAGCGACCAATCCTGACCGGGTGACTGTAGCCAAGCCCCCATGCTTCCCGTCAGGTTCGGTCTCTCCGTCCCCGGCCGCTGGGCTTCCCGGACCAGACCTGGAGCTCACGGCTCGGTTCGAATGCCCGGCAAGCTGCCCAGCTTGCAGTGTGATGAAAGTACAGGCCAGAACCAAATAAGGCAACATCCCTGAATTTATGCCAATTTGGTGCCTTGTTTCAATGTGCCAGTTTAACCGTGGAAGTTTAGAATTGTGAGATTTGCAGAAAAAGGAGGTGCTAATGGGGTTTGAAATTCTCTGTACGTCCATTTCACCTACTGAACTATGGTCAGCTATGACCATGTAAACTCAGTTTTTCATTCTATGACCCCTTTTAAATAAATAAGTAAAAAGAAGCTATGACATTCAACTATTGAACCCTCTGATATACACCAGAATTCATTTCATCTATGACCATGCCTTGACCAAGTCCAAATTAGATTACCAAACCATGGGACTTACACTTTCCTGCTTCACACTGTTTTTAAAATGCCTCTACTACATTCATTATCATTCATGGCAATATATCCAGCATTCAAGTGCAGACAAAGGTATATCTGGTCATTAAATAGAGGCATGTGTTCTTTAAAGTGTAGAGAGTGGATACAATGGCTAAATAAATGGGAGTAAAGTTATAATACGAGGGCCATGCATTTTTTGTAACTCTAACGATTACATCAAATGTTTGATGCTGAAGTGGCCAGATATGATATGATGATGCTGAAGTGGATCAGTATATAAATGAGTGTGACATCGCTGCTCTACTGGATTGCGGTATTTGGTTTTAACCAAACGCAAATCCTTTTCTGCTGATCAAATGATTCAAATTCAGACTAATCTCCCCAAAGAACATTTATCCAGCCTGGTCTTCGTCTAGGTTTGCTGTGGCAAACTCTTGTCTGGCCTTTATATTTATCTTAGAGAGCAAAGGTTTCCTGTTTGGACCCCTCCCATGAAAGTTAAACTTGTGCAGTCTCTCTCTGATTGAAGAGGCATGCTCTTATGTCAACAAGAGCTATAGGGTCAACTGAAGAGATTTTTTTAGTTTAAGGTAAGTTCTGGTGATCTACTTTCAGGGTTACCCTACTTGAAAGGGCAGACCTGGGCAGGTTGGCAAAAGTCTTTTCAACAGCCCTCTAGATCTCATCATGGTGTTCACTCACTCTTCAGCAACCGGGAGCAAACCAAACTAACTGCCTGAGGTTTAACCAAGGCAAACCTCCGTTAAACCGTTTAGTGTTGATGGTCTAATCATGTGCATTTGATATGACAAGCCTGTATGTAATTTTAGCCATGTTATTCCTCATATAAAATTGCTTTTGTCTTCTCGGTTTTAGAAAAACAGTCATAGGCAGCTCTCTTTCAACTCTCCATGGCTAATATAAATATGTGATCAACTGTGTGCCTGTTTGCTTCACTCAGGCCAGACAAGTTGTTTCTTTAACTTTGTGTTGTGGTGTTTATCAATCGTTGGCTAGGGGAGGGAAAAAAGTAAGATAAACAGCTGAAGTCACAGAAACAGGAGTCTTAAGGGGGAATGGCAAAGATTTTAAAATACAGCATGAGGAGAGAGTCAGCTAGCAGTGAAAAGACTAAAAAAGGGCCTTTTAGTATGAACAAAGAAGAGGGAGATTTTTCAATGTCTAGCATTACATAAAAAAACATGCCACCAGTCTTTGAACAGTCTTTGCAAATAGACTTAGCGATTAATCAAACGTGCCATCTCTCCTCATCTGTCAGCGTGTTAGAAATTGTTTCTGTGAAGAATAGCCCAGCCTTTTTCCCAGACAAATGGACAAAAAGAGGATATTTCTTATGTTCGTATGTTTTAGCTTCTTTACATGACAGAGAACGACATTCATCACAGTGGAGGCTGCTTTGCTGTTTGGGAAATTTTGGTAGCTTTCCTTGAAGTCAAAACTGACCTTCCACTTATTTTGCAAATGGCTATAAAGACTCTATAAAACCAGTCTGAACTAAGATTCAACCTTTTGAAATAACTGTTGAAGTTAAAACGAACCAGAGAGTTCCCTTTAGAAGGATTAAAATAAGCATGACATAGAGCATTTAAGTATGCCTCAGAGTCCTAATCAAATTAAAGTCTTGAATTTTAGCAGATCCTTCTCACGGCAAACTATATCATTTTAAAATACTTTACTGATTGAAAAACGAAACAAATCCAAGAAAAAATAAACTGATTCAAACATAGCTTTGTAAAATGACAGAAAGACTGTTTATCATGCCTAAATCTGAGAGATGATGGATCACAAACTACATGATTAGCCAAACTAAATCCCCCCACTTGGACCAAAGTCTTACACACACTCTAACAGATCAGTTCAAAGCATAAATAACAATATCAGCCTGTATCCAAACCCAGGAAGTGATGTGGGGTTGGGTCTGGCCCATTAGGGTATTTAATGCTCACACACTGAAGATCTAGCTGTAATTAGACATGCTGACCATCCCCAGTTAATGCCGACCTTCTCCGAACAGGAAAAAGCGAGTTTATTGAGTTTTAGCCTGTGTGCACCTGATCACATGGACATGCTTTGATTTAAACCCTTCCACATTAGCTCTGGCTCTGTGTTTACAGTCCTGGTGGACGGCACACTTTAGCCAGTCTGAAGTCAATTCCTTTGTATCCTCCACCACTTCAATATTTAGCTCCGTCCATTATTGCATCTACTCTAATCAACTTTCCTGTATTCACTGAGAAGATGTGTCCATCCATCCAGCTTGGACAGCAATATGAACTCCATTAATTCTTTTGTTTCTCCTCAAAATGATTCAAAATTTATTTAAGGACCATTTCATCCATCAATTTTCTGACACGCTTATCCCAAGCAGGGTGGCGAGGGGTGTCCATCTCCAGCTGTCTACGGGCGAGAGGCGGGGTCCACCCTGAACAGGTAGCCAGTCCATCACAGGGCAACATAGAGATGTACAGGACAAGCAATCATTCACACACACACTCACACCTTAGGAGAATTAACCTAACAGTCATGTTTTTGGACAATGGGAGAAGTCGGAGTACCCGGAGAGAACCCACGCATGCTGAGGCAGAACATGCAAACTCCAAAAAGACGCCGGGCCAGGAACTGAACCCAGAGCCTTGTTGCTGCAAGGTAGCAGTGCTACCCACTGCGCTACTGAGCAGCCCGACAATTTCAGAAACATCGTTTATAAAATACCAGGTTATAACTCTTTTAAAAGCACTTTATACTTTTATTCAGAAACTGGTTTTGGTCAATTATTATCAATAATTTGTAGAAGTTCAAGAACAATTCCAAGTAAAACTCCTTCCAAAGAAAACCCTTCTTGATAATGACATTACTACCTGACTGTACAGTTTATCAGGTGAAGACAGATACTTAAAGCTGAGAGACTGAGGTGTTTTGCTGCAGAATTGAAACATTGTGAGAGAGAAAGAAAGAAGGGCTGTATTAAAAACAGATGTACTGATATTAGTCATTGGAGCAGACAGCAGATTAGTGTAATAGACATCTCTAGAGTTAAAGTCCCTAGGTGAGGAAGATCACCCTGCCTGAACATAATATTCAGACATTTTTTCCTTCATCCCTCTGTCAGATGTTTTTCAGGGGAAACAGGATAAGATGCAAGCTTTGAGATTGAGCCAGTACAGTAGTCAGAGTAACAAGATTTATGAATGGATCCTGCACCTGTCCTCTTTGCTGTCCAAAGTATGTTGCCTAAAGCTGATTAATGCGTTTGGTAGCATCAGAGTGCTGCTTACCATTACTTATGATGGCAGTGAAAGGGAGATGAAAAGGAGGAGAATGGGTTCTGGTGTCTGTTATACAGTTTGCCCTGAGGTCCTAGTTCAATAAGCAGAGGTTAGCAGGGGCAAATGAGAGACAGGGGAAAGGCTTTCAGGGGGAAAAAAGAAAACAGATAGGACAGAGGGCAAAGAGGATTCATGTAAACATGGAGGAGGCTCCGGAGAGGTATGTGGGAATGCATCAGGGTTGATGTCATTCTGCTCCACAGAGGCTAAAAGGCAGGGCAGACCTAAAAGTCAGGGGCAGAGCTAGACATTCTCATCATCAGGGGCTTAGCCCATCGCTGCACTCTTTTAATAAATTAATGCTAATTTAGTCAAACTCAGTAGCGTCATAATATCCCATCTATGGTCCCTTCTTAACAACATAACATGATGCTAGCAGGGAGCTGAGTTAGCTAGAACTACGAATAAAGTAATCAAGTGCATGGGGCCATGACAGGTTGGTTTCCACTCTGCGGCTGACCACTACCAACCAGATAAACCTTCGACTGGAGCTCTGGCTCCTGAATGAAAACAATGATGGGAGGCGTTTCCCTGGTAACGCTGTGCATCTACGTCCTGAGCTGTTGGACACCCAGAAACTTTTTAAGGGATAGTTACAGCGTGTGAAGTGAACACCCCTTCCTGGTGGGGTTACATATTGTAACAGATGACAATGGTTTATCAAACTAATAATAAATAAAAACAAAGTGATCAGTTGCCAAAAATAGATCCGTTGAAAGATCTTTTGAAAAAAAAAATTTCAACATTAAGCTCCCCAGAGCCAGAGACCATGTCTCTGATGTCCTCTCGTTTTTCACAGGCATGTTTCACTGTTTGATGATATAGTGGTATCCCCCCAGATAGTTCAGGGCATAGAGTTACGATCTACCCACAGGACACCATTACAGTCTGCAGTCCACAGATGCAGGGCCTGGATAAAAGCAACGGCTTCACAGACAGAGCAGGTGAAGTCTGCATAACTAATGACGGAGTGAGGCTCAGAGTCACTGCCGAAAAGAAGGTGGCTCACATTTCCACACAAAAATAAGAAAAAGAACTCAAATATGCATTGGTCCTCCTCATACAGCTTCATTAAAATACATTTTCTTCAACAAAAGATAAAACACAGCTCTAAGTTATTTATAAATAAAAAAATAAGACTTTGATGGGAGGTAAGAATGCTCCCACTAAGTGATGCCCAGATAGTAGAGCTATTTATTGTATTTTCGCAGTAAAACCTGCTGAAACTGTAACATATTTTCACACCAGTCGTACAAAGAAAAAGTTTACAGTGGGAGTTTATTTCCTCCGCTCTACACGGTGTAATACTAGCCCCTTTTTATCCTAAAATAACCTCCTAGGTTCCTGTTCTCTGGTGAAAAGATGTCTCAGCTTCCCTCCCCCAGAATGCACTGGGAAAGGTCAAATGTTTATTAGCTACTCATTAAACACCTGGGGGGAGTCAGAGAATTTGGGACGCTCCCACATAAATTATATCTTGTAAAGGAAAACTAAATCTTTATTTGTTACTGCTTAATGTGAACACAAAGGATTAATTTAAATGTTTGGTGGTTATTGTAGTTTTCCCCTCATGTTTCTAAGCTAAGGCAGCAGGCTGCTTGGCTATTCCGGCATCACCTGTAGCTACTCAGAGCACAGGGGGGGAAATGTAACACAAACACTCTGCTAATTAGCCCAATTAAGTCATTATGCAACACAAGCCAGAAGTCTGACAGTTTGCGCCCCTCCGGCTCTGCTTCTAAAGATCTGGGCTCAGTTTTACTCCCAACTTTCCCACCAGATTCTTTCGGCATTAAGTGAAGCAGAAGGCAACCTGGGGTCTGTGAGGTTCAGATGAATACAGTGTGTGGATTTGTGCGTTTACCTCTCCGGACATGTCGGGTGCCAGGGTAATGAGGGGCCAAAGGGAGGAGTAGATGATGAAAAACACCACCCACAGGCCGATGCTTCCCCAGATGGCAATGTGACTGAACTGTGAGAACATGGAAACACAGGCAAATCATTTACTGCATTACTGCAGATGCTTCTCTAACTTTTTCATAACATTTATAGCCCAACCCCCCCATTTTCTGCTATGGTGTGTGATGGTTTGCAAAAGGGAACACGCTTGAATGAAGTTCCACACATTTCACTGGTTACAGTTACAAGCCCACAAAGAAGGAACTATAAAGATGCTTTAAGATAAAGAGAGCTGCATGTAAAATGTGTCAGAAATACCAGAGGAGATACAAGCAGTCAGAGAGTCTTTAACTCACCGTGGTCCAGGATGACGTCTCCAGACCCGCTTTAAGACAGACTGTGATGACGACAAACTGTGGAAAACAACAAAATACAGTTTTAAAAAACAACCAGTTTGAATTCCTAGAAAAAAGTTATTATTTAGATTGCTTTTTTTAATCTCCAAGAAATAAGTATTCTTTTCATCCATGCACCAGTTTGCTGCCTGAATATTTAAGTACAACATGGTGTTATTATACTCCTATAGCCTAAGTTTAAAAAAAGTTTTTTATGACATTTTTATTTATTTATTTTACATTTAATTATATCTACCTGGGGAAATACTCAATGTGAAGCATTCAGACATATTTTTTAGAACTCCATGTTCATCAGAACTTAAATCTGACTGGGGGTCATCCTGTTCACTGATATTACCTTTTTCTATCCTTATGTTCAACTGCACCAAATAAGATGTTTCTAAGGTTGGCTTTTACTCCGTTGGTTTGGTTAGTTTTTTATATAAACTTTATTTTATTGGAGAGTTCAAGTTGGTGGACCTTTAGATTTATAAAGCACATAGGTCAAATCTAGGCTGAATTCATAGAAATGCTTTATTCTGTTTGTAAAACTTTAAAAACCTGGTTTTAAAACTCCAAACAGGTCTGGTTTAAAGGTACTCTGTGAGTGTAGATGGCAAAAATTGTATATAAATAATTATCAATGTTCATTTTTAGACCTTAATACTCTGAGACCCAGACATACACACAGATTTGTAGTGGTTCCAATATATGATTACGTCCCAAAGTAGAGAAATGAGAGATAAAATTGATTAAGAAAATCCACAAAAACATTTTATTGTGAAAAAACACCAATTTTAATCTTTTAAAATAGCAGAAAAATAAAGTAAAAAAAAAAACATATATATAGTCTTTTCTTTCTCATCTATATATAGAAAATGATAAAGGCAAATTTCAGATTTTTAAAGTCTGCATCTAATCTCAGCATCCTGGTTAGATCACAGGTCAAACTATAGTTATTAAAAGAAAATCTGAAAAAACATTAGGATCAGATTAAAAAGAAATGGAAAGGGGGTGCGATCCAAGTTTGTAGAAAATAATGTGCTTTTAAATAATATCTGTGAGATCTGAGTAAATGTGTTGTACCTCATCTTCACAAATAATGACAGTACTAAATAGCTAAACAAATAATAAACCAATATACATTGGTTTAAATTCAGAAGAACAAAATGGAAGAAGCAGGGATTAAATAAAAAACTAAGTGGGGATTAAAGGTTTGAGCACATAAGGTACAAGCACTCTTTCTTTACAATATCTATCTATCTATCTATCTATCTATCTATCTATCTATCTATCTATCTATCTATCTATCTATCTATCTATCTATCTATCTATCTATACATATATCACTCACATCTATAGTATCAGCTAGAGTGGTGAACTTACTGTGTAGACCATATTTCCTAAGAGCAGGTAGTCTGGAGTTTGTCCGCTACCAAACACCGTATCTGAAAGAGAAATCAACAAGATGCTTTCAGGAATACCACGGTTTTTCTGAAGCTCTCAGGGTTTCCCCACAGTCATCAGGATCTGTTGGGTTTTGTCCTGATTAGAGCCACATCCCAATATTAACAAAAAACTCATTCAAATCATCTTCCCTTCTCTTCTATTCAGATTTTATCGTGGATATGGTGATAACTGCACAGTTCAAATTATCCATATCCGTTTATGTGAAGGCTAATAACCCAATAATGTTAACTTTATTTATTCACACCATATTAAAGCAAGGGACTTTGCAAATGCTTTACAATCCTGATCTGAGCAGTAATATCAAATGATTCATTGTGTTTAGGACCATACATGGTATTTAAGGATTATTTGGAAAATCTGTTGATTTAGTGCAGCTCTATGTTTTACACAGATTACCATAAATAACATGACAGAAACACTAAAAAAACAGTCATAGATCTTGTGTTTTCCAGGACTTTTGTAACTTATCAACATTTTAAGTTATATAAAAATGCCAAACTAGTTCAGGAGTAAAGGACATCAACATGTTGATTGGTTATTATGAGAAGCAGTGCTTGCAGCAGAGGGTGAATAAAAAAACATGCCTGGAATAATGGATTGAACTCTAATCATAACTGTAATATGTCATTTTCATCACAAAGGAGTACTTGGATTTATTTATTCATTTTTTCCATCTTCCAATCATGCATAGTCTGCATGCCAGTGATGTATTCGGTCTGCTGGAAGGATTTTTTGGCTGTACATAGATTTATTGCTATGGACGGTCTGATGATACTGGTGATACACAGTCAGGCATGAATATATCTATTCTCTATCTGCATCTTTTGGGGAAAGCGGTCTGCATTAAGTTCTACTACACGGAGGCTTGTCTGACAGTTTATTAGTAAATCACATTTAATAGGCTGGTTTCTATTTTAAGATGAAAATGTAGGCATTATATCTGACCTGCATTTCCAAATTAGATTAGAACAAACGGATTGCTTCAGAACACAGGAGTGAGTTTGGGTTAGAGCCAAGGCCACAATATCAGCAGTATGTGACTGTCAGTGAATAAAGAATCAGAGTTTCCCTCCATTTCCGGCTGGTAACCTGCCCCTGTGTGCACAGAGACTTTGCTGACAGCCTGTCAGTCAGAGTGAGGCGGCTCGGCGCCTTTGTTTGGAAAGCAGGCCCAAGCTTGTGTGGTCCTCAGCTCTGTCCAGCCAAGACTAACAGGCTAAAGACTCCCTATTCTCTTTACCAAACAAAAACAGATAGAAACCTTTAGTTTTAAAATGAACAAAACATTTCAAGGTTTTCTGAAAGCCAATTATACGCATTTTCTCAACAGACATTAAATGTCCCTTATAAAATTCATTTGTGTGATCATTGTTTTTTGTTGCCTCTAACTGCACAGAAAACATCTAAGCTCTCGTTTAGAGACTCAAATATGAACACAGGGTAATAGCTGCATGTGGTTCTGACCAAACATGCCACATGTTTGCAATTCATGACTGGAACGGCCAAAGAGAGAAGTAATTAAGACAAAGTATGCGAGCTTGACTGTTTTCTCTTTTCATTCAGTCCATTGAGAGCTGCAGAGGAGTCGCTGGGAGCCACTAACCATGCTGGAAGGCTTTCAGGGGGAACCAGAAGAGGATGACGGAGTGGAAGAGGCCGTTCAGACAATGAGCCCAGAAGACCTGCAAAATAGAGGCAGGGGGGGATGGAGGAAGAGGAGGGGGAGTGAGAAACAGAAAGAGTGAGAGAGAAGAAAAAGAAGCATGTGAAAAGGGTGTGGGGAGCACCAGGTGACCCCTGACCTGGGCCCTTTGTGCCAGCCCAGTGCTGGGCTAAGTGGCGGTTTTGTCGGGGCCTCCTCAGTGAATAGCCACCCCGCTGACAGACACGCTGTGTATCATCTGAGTATTATGGGGGAGAGAGAGAGGCTACCCAGTATGTGAAATGATCAATGTTTTGGTTTTAATCATTTTCCTAATTCACAACAGATTAATTCAAAAATAATTTACCCAAAAAACGGTTAAATCGGAGTGATTTCACTGACTCTGAGAACAGCAAACAAAATTATACTAAGAGGTGCAGAGGAAAGGTTTACCCTCATTAAACATCATTAGATTTTAGCTCCTTTTTGAAAAGATTTCAACCAAGGTAGTAATAAATTACAGGAGAGTTTAAACAAGTAAAACAAATCAGTGTAAAAACACACAGAGACTGACAGGCGGACAGAGATTAAACTGTTTTCTGGGTAATTATCAGGAGCCTGGAAAATGGAGGCATGGAACACCATCTGCGTGTTTCCGTCTGTGCAGACGTATATGCTTTGGATGAGTTGCCTAAACCAATACTCCCACTCTCCAACACCACCTTGTTTCAAAATTTATATCAACTCACCTTCCAGAGCCAAACAAAACATTGAAGGGACGTGTAGCATGAAACAGCCGTGAAATCTGTCCAGCAAAAAAAAAAAAAAGACGAAGAAAGGAAAAGAGAAGAGAGGCTTCTTCCCACTTCTCTCCTCAGACAGATAACGTTTAATTTATTACTAATATATATATTAGCAATTAATGTTCTCTCTGCAATGGAGACTCTCTCAGCGCTGTCATTTAGAATAAATCCAGACTGGTGGGTTCTTGAAGCTGAAGCTAACGGCTAATCCAAGACAGACCAAGACTTGAATCGTTTTAAAACATCTCAAAAATATCACAGATTTATGCGGATGATATTTCATGATCCAGTACTCTGTATAGCTGGTGATTATTTACCATTTAGCTTTGATTATTCACACAGGAAATGCAGGTGGGAGGTCAAACCTAACCAATGACTGCTGTTGTGTGAAACGTATGCTGAGAACAAAATATTTTCAGCTACACTGCTGGTATAAGAGCAGAACACTTTCAAACAATAAAAACAAGATTGAAGTTATTACCAGATTCATTATTTATCTTTTTTTGTAGAGGCCTGCTTCACCCTGAAGAGCCAAACAGTCTGAAATTACGCTAAATGATTACCTCTAAAAGAATGCCAAAGAAGACACAGACCTTGTATTCATACCTCCCTTAGACTTTTCGTGTCACTACCACAAATCTTAATAGACTTTATGTGATAAACTGCATCACGATAATGTGCAGCTAAAAGTAAGAATTCCATTCCTTCATTATCCCAAAATAAAATCAGCAATCCAAATGCCAAATATTCACCCAATTAGTAAAAAGACCTGGGGAGATTGTTTTTCTCTGTCTACAAACAGCTGTTCTGTAGAGTCCTCAGAGGTTTGTTAGAGAAATAAGAGAATATGTCTTCATTAAAGCAAAGAGGAGCTGAAATCATACAGGTTCCTGAAGACCAGCTAACTCATCCACAGGGCGGGAGACGATGCTGTGAAAAAGCTGGTTATTAAACAACATCCTAACTGTTCTATCGTATTAACATTTAAAAAGACAAGATCATGAAAGCCAGAAGAAACCTGCTCTGTTGTTCGCCAAACATGGCGGTTTTCTAATTGGATAAATAATAACTAAACCCGATGAGTTTTTTGCAACTCAGAGATCATCACCTTGAAGAGACCATCCCTACCAAATAAACATGGTGGTAACATTATGCTATGAAAAGTATTTTTTTCCTTCACTGCTGGTAGAACAAATGGTGAAACTGAAGGAAGTCATTCTAGATTATGTTAGTACTTAAAGGTCCTGTTTTTTCCCCCAGATTCCCAGCTGAAAACACAACACAAACCCCTCCTAAGGTATAAATTCACACAGGGAATGTTTAAGCCAAGTAGCCCCTAGTTTTGTATCAACATGGCTGCCACAGGCAGAACGCAGTTAAAGTTGCCAGATTTAACTATTTGTTAGGAACAATGATGGCTCATAGATTCATCTATTGGTTGACATTTTCTCTAGAATATCACCTTCAGATGCACAATTAATCAAAACACAGCCATGTTATATGCTAGAATAGCTTTATAGACAAAAAAAAAGCAGGACTGAAAAAATCAAGACTAAAAACACATTTGTTTAGGATTGCCTTCGACTGTTCTAGTTAAACAGTTCAACTGAAAAATCATTAGTTCAACTTTTTTATTTTCTTTAGTCCAACTGATTTTTTGTTTCTGCATTTTTTATTTTATTTTTATATTTCCTACTTGCTTTGATTCTGTTTTATTTTCCTATATTTTAATCATGTAAAGCAATTTGCATTGTCTTTGTACAGAATTGTGCTATACAAATACATTTGCCTTGCCTTGCAGTAAATGAAGATGAACATTTAAGTTAAACACATTTTAAAAAATTATTAAAAGGCAAGAATTTCAACCTTTAGATGTGCAAAGCTGAAAAAAACACCAAGAAGAATAAAAAGAATGACAGAAATATCGAGTTAACTTTTACTGAAATGTGATTTAAAAACAAACAAAAAAAAACAACTTATTTAGAGGGCAAAATACAACTACATGCCACAATTTTCCCTCTTTTGAAAACAGTCTTTAGAGACTATCCACGTTATAGCTCTCCATTTTTCTAGAACAAATAAAATCTAAAAAAGATAACTGACGTTTGTTGTTGCGACATGAGTGCATGTAAACAAGTTGAACGGGTCTTCATTTAAGAAAGCAATACCTTTCTGACAGAATTATTCTTCACATATATATCTTAGGCCCCGTCCACACGAAGACGAACCCTGGCC